CTCAGGTTTTGAGCTGATACAAACATCAAATCAATTTGACCATGGCTTCATATGGTCAGCCGCAGTAGATGTCAAATTCGGTCCTTCATGGCATCCTACTTTTTCGCGACGTCATATCTGTCATTTGGTCTAACAGCTATGATTTTATACGGTCCATGAAACTTAGGTCGTAGTTTCAAACCAGTTCCATATTGAGTTCTCTGAATGGCTACCAAATCACCAATCTTGTACAGTTTCGGTTTCTTACGTCTTTTATTAAATTGCTTACAATTCTCTTCTTGTATCTTCAAAATGTTGTTTTTCGCATCTTCTCTCATTTCATCACGTTCTTGCATCAACTGCTTTAAATATTCTTCATTCAATATCTTGTAGAGTTGCGCGCCTCCGACTTGCACGCAACCAAGAGGTGACTGTTGAAACTGGAAAATAGACAGAGTCTTGCTAAGGGTTTAAGTCCCTTTTTATTCAACTTAAGAAATTACAATTGCGTGCTCTTGACGCTCACAAACTCCGACCCGGCGGTAAAATAAAAATAAGAACCTGAAAAGAAAATAATAACAAGTCTCTAACTACGAGGCTCTCTAAAAGTAACTAACCTCACCGAGTTTTACAATACCGCTGCTAATTCAGCAAACTTTGAATATCACGTTGAACGAATAACAATTCTCCGAGGCAAGCACACAGGCGAAACGCGGGGTTCTTCAATTTCTGGCTAACTACCTCCGCGCTCGTGAAGTAAGAACAGCACACCTCGAACTCGTTTTCATTCTATTTAACTCAGAATACTTCCGCTGATAATTTGAATCCTTGCGCGTTCTACTAAAATTTACATACTCTGGCATTGGCAGTTCCAGGGGAAAGTAAGGCTTGACAGGAAAGATAGTTTAAACTTAAAATAAATGTTAGTTAAAATAAATATAAACCCTACAATCTCACTAATTCTCAGATCTTCCTTATTCTTCATTTTTGTGTCTAGGAGAAGCTCAGACGGTGAATATTTTGTACTTCTCGTAGTTGTGCTTTTGATTATTCTCTGGACATCTGGAACATACTTAAACCATTTCGTTGGATCCTCATGTGATAATTTTGACAAAACAGGAAACAAAATTCTATGGATTCGCTCAACCTGTCCGTTACCTCTTGGAATACCGGTAGTAATTTTGACATGTTCTATGTCTTTTACAGTACAATAAGCTGAAAATTCTTTCGATGTAAAGGCACTACCTCGATCTGAAATGATTCTGGCTAGATTTCCAAATGCAGTCTGTTGTTGCTTCAATTTTCAAATAACTTCTTGGTGATTTCACTGGATAGAACCAAGTAAATTTCGTAAAAGCATCAACACAGTCAGAATGTGTTGGTATCTCTTGTTCGTCGATGGAAGAGGTCCAATAAAGTCGACATGGTATGTACTCAAGGGAACGTTGTCTTTCGGTACAGGATGAAGAAATCCTTCTGCTTTTCCTTGCTTCTTGTTGTACAGTATACATTCTATACAGTTAGCAATTATTTTTCAACTTTGCATTTCAGTCTGGGAATATAGAATTCTTGCTCTACAGCATTCACAGTTTTATCTACAGCAAAGTGACCCTTTTTATGTACCTTCTGTATGATTTCGTTTCTGTAAGGATTCTGGCACTACTAGCAGATCTTTTACCAATTTTCCAAATTTGTGCAAAATATCATTTCTCAGGAAGAATCCATTTCTCTTCTCCTTTTCTCAACCTAAATTCTTTATCAATTTCACATGTTCATCTTCATTCTGTTGTTGTGCCAACCGAATCTTCTCAGTTACGTCGGATGTGTATGATGTTAAAATTAAAGCATTTCTACTTAGAGCATCAGCATGTTTCATTTGGCTTCCTGAACGATGTACAATTTCGTAATCGAATTCTTCAATAAACTTTGCCCATCTTGCAATCTTAGGAGTTAAATCTTTCTTATCTAAAGTTTTCTGAAAAGCACTACAATCAGTTACAATTTTGAATTTAGAGCCTAACAAATAGTTTCGAAATTTCTTCAGAGCTTCTATAACTGCAAGGGCTTCTAATTCGTAACTACAGAGTTTCTCTTGCTGCGGTGAAGTCTTCTTACTCATATGCTGGATTGGGTGATAATTACCATCAGCAGACAGTTGGAGTAATACCGCACCAAAGCCTTGACCACTAGCATCAGTATGAAGTTCTAATGGATATCCTTGTCTAAATATGTGTAGAACAGGTGCTTGAGAGAGAATTTTTTTAATCTGCAAAAAGCTTCCATTTGTTCGGAATCGAATTTAAAACCAATACCTTTTCTAAGTAAGTCACTAAGAGGGTTAGCTATTTTAGCATAATGAGAAATGAATTTACGAAAATAACCTGTTAGTTCTAAAAAGCTTTGTAGTTTACGTGGTTGTGGAAAGTTTCGAACAGCAACAGTTTTGGAAGGTGATGGTCGAATAGTTCCGTTTTCGATTACATGTCCTAAAAATTCAATTTTACGCTTTAAGAATTGGCACTTTTTGAAATTTATTTGTAATCCATATTCCGAAGTAGTTTTGAATACTCTTTCTAATTTGTCTAAACATTCAACTTCATCATTAGCCGGTATGACTATATCATCCATATAAATAATTAGTACACCTTCATTTAACAAGTTACGAAATACTGAATAAATATACCTTTGAAAAACATTTGGACTAATACATAAACCAAAAGGAGCTTTAAGAAATTCATAAATATCATTATGTGTTATAAGCGCGGTGTATTTTTTGCAGTTTTCATCTATGTCTACATGGAAAAAGCCATTTTTCAAATCTAGTGTCGTGAAGACCTTTGACTGTTCTAAACGATCAAGTACTTCCGGAATTAAAGGCAGTGGAAATTTGTCTTTGATAATCTTCTTATTTAATTTCCGATAGTCAATGCATAATCTTTTAGAATTATCCCTCTTGTTACACAAACAATAGGCGCTGCATAGTTAGATTTGCTAGGCTTTATTACTTTTTCTTTCAGCCATTCATTAATTTGATCCTCAACAATTTTTTGTTCCGCGAAAGACATGTATCTTCTATTTTGACAGAGGGAATTTCATCGCATAAATTTATTTGCATCTTGAAGTCAGATTGTCTATTTTTCCGAGGCTGGTACGAATTAATTAAATTACACAGTCTTTCTTTATGTTCCGCATTCGAAATATGCGATAAATCAATCTCGTTGACAGAAATAGCATTCACCAGATGTGAAAGGTAATTAATTTTCAAGCCACTTCCGCTTTCGGGGTTTTTGTTTACATTAACAGGAGACGCCAGGCGATTGAGAAAGATCATAAACATTCTTCAATGACACAGCAATATTCAAATTTCCCATAACGCAACGAACGTTAGCATTTCGAGATGACTCAGCAGTTATCAAGTTTACATTACTTTTATTCCGATGAGAAATTATTTGAAGGCCATTCTCGGTAAAGGAAAAGTTAAACTGATTCATTACATCCAAACCTAATACAATTTGATTACATAACGACTTAACTACATAAATTTTCGTACGAAGTGAAAAACTATCAATTGAAATATCAGAAATGGAAAAGCCGATAGGGTACGTTTGCTTTGATTCAATTCCGTTTAATGTGATATCGCTACAATTTAAATTAGGAGAACCAATCTGCTTGTGTAACTAACTCCACGCTGCATATCGTCACATCCGAACCAGTGTCAACAAGACTATCAACTAAATGATTATTTATCTCTACAGTCTTCATAATTCTATCCTTATCAGAAATTCGTTGTAATAAAGCTTGTTTCTCGGGATTCTGATCTGGACAATCAGTTGATTTAGGCCCCAACTTTTTACATTTAAAACATTTTATACCCTTCGATTTGTTTACACAGTGCGATGACTGATGCAAAAATTCCTGGCAATTAAAACATTTGACCTTATTAACGTTAGATTGATTTCGGTTTGATGACGCAAGCTTATTTCTATCTTTAACTTGGGTGTCTACTTTCGGTTTCGGATTTTTAAATTTATCATTGTCAGATCTCATTTTATCATAAATTTTAAGTCTTTGTTTAAATTCAGATATTGTTTCGCAACCATACAGTATAGTTTTCCTCACCACAGAATCGGAAATACCATCAATAACATATTTAATTAATGAAGCATCTTCAATGTTACCTCGTGAACACATTTCTTTCATTTTCAAAAAATACTCATCTAAAGATTCATTAGGCATTAATTTACGCTTTCATAACATTTCATGCAATTCAGCAGAATTAAAAGCTTCACCAAATTCAGATTTCAAAAGCTTTTTTAACTTACACCAGTCATTAACTTTAGGTTCACTCTGAATAAATAGTTTTCGCTTTACCTTTTAATGATCTTTTTGCAAAAACTAATTTATGGAAATCACTCAATTTCAAAGAATTTATAACATCTTCAAATTCAGCTAACCATTTATCAACATTTTCATATGCATTACCAGAAAAAGGATTAACAATACTTTCAATATCCGAAAAACTAAGATGCGGTTTAAAATGATCTTGAATTGGAAGCTGCATACTGTTATTTACTTTAGACTCGTTAAAACCAGGATTGTCTCTTTGATTATTATCAAGCACTACTTCAGAAATTTTATTAACAGTTTCATCTTCAATATCACTATTTTCTTCATGCAAAATATTTTCAAATAATACAGATAAATCACACAGGAAAGAGACAATTCGGGTTACGACTTCCGATTTTAAACCTTCTGAGTTTATGCACAATACATTGCAAACTTTAATTAACTCATTCAAAGTAAAACTACTCTGCACTATATCTATTTTCTTATTAAATTCTTCAGAATTTGGTTTAAATATAAAGCCAGAAAATTCACGTAATCTTTTCCGGTTATTTCGATCTCCATCAGTATTAAAAATAAGCTTATGCAAACTTTTGATTTCAGAACTTTTACTGTTCTTTGCTTCCAATTCTGGAATTTCTACTAACTTCATATTGGAAAGAAAGTTTTGTACTCACTCGACTGATGATCGTCTTCAATTGGGGTAATCCACACTTTATACGAGTAATCCAATAAATCCAATAACATGTTACCAATAACAGTTCACAGTTCAATGCACAGTTCATAATGCCACTCGCACACTTTCGAGTTCGTTGTTCGAGCCGCACGGTTGGTCGCCAAAACTTGTAGGGTTTTCTTTCAAAACAGAGAGCACGAACATTGCATTTTTAAAATGCTTTTATTTTAATAATAAGAAATGGATAAAAGTAATAAAGGTTAAGTAAAAATTAATGTTGCAGGATTCATATAATGATGCACAATCACAGACAATATTAGTTCCTCGGGCGTTGATAGAATACGTTAATCCACAGCTATCTTTAAATAGTATGATCATCTAAAATCACTTGGACACCAAAGAAGACCGTCTGTCTTCTTCAACTCTTGAAGAAAAGCGAGCCGTCTGCTCACATCTCCTACTCCACTCTCGACCACGTCTGGACGCTATCTGACGCTGTCTGGAATGATTCGCACTGAGCTATGCTGGTATGACGTCATTGCTGGTAATTCGCTAAGTCAGCATCGGTCGTCGATCTCCACATTTATAATAATATATATTTATAATAAACATTTCATGAAAAAATTGGTTTGATTCAACTGAAATCCCATATTTAATATTTCATAAATGTATATATTCACATTTTGTTAACTTTGAAAGTGGTGTAAGTCTATTTGAGGTCATCAAAAGTACACAATTATTTTAATTAATACTTTAAAAACGATCACATTATAAATTTCAATTAATTTAATATTTAAAAAACATAAAATGAGGGTATTAACATATACCAATATTTTTCAAACCATTCATTAACAAAACCTTAAATATTCATATAATATAAAATGGACTTTCACCGCTCTTAAAGAATTTTTCGTTGTCATCGCTTGAAGCTGCGAAGCTGTACAGAAAACGTTCGAGACAAATATGAAAAACTGATCTGCCGTCTTAAAACTGAGCCTTCTTAAAAATTCGCATTCATGCTTGGAATTTTTTAAAAAGCTTTGTTTTTTTTGGGGGGGGGCATTTCTATTAGCATATTTTCAGTGAGAGCTAAGAGATCCATATGTTAAGAATGAGAGCTAAAAACTGGAGCTTCAAAAAAAGGGGGCGGGAAATGTTAAAAGCAAAAACAGAAATAATGAAAAAAAATATCTCAAACCCAATCTGGATCGCATTGTCTACGCCAAAAAGCATCTGCTGTCTTCGACGTTCTATTAGATTTCTCACCCTTGTTCTTACGCAAAAGCGGCTGCGATAAGCCTTAAGGGGGGCATGTGCAATATGGCGGGCTTCTCTATATAATCAAGTGTCTCTAAAATTGACTGAACTCCAGATTCTTTGGTGCCGAAAGTTCTCCTTTAAAAAAAGGTGGTAAACTTGAAAAAGACAGGCGGATCCTACGAAACACGGCTCTGCTGCTGCTCCCTGCAAATTTCGTCGAGTCGTCGACCTTAAAAATCTGTTCTTCCTGTTCTTTTCCTACGAGACACCATATATTGCATTCATCTTTTTAAATTGATAAAACATCTCGAAAAGAAAATTCGATTTAAGGGCTGCAGACCTGATGTTACGAAACTGTTTTGTTTCTTAATGTCCTTTACCGATTGCATTGAAAAATGAACAATCCTTAATTTGTTTGGGTACTTTAAATTCTAACTTTTTGTATGCGACACCAAAACACCTCCATGGACTGTGGTAACAGAAAAGGAATATTTATCTATTTAGACGATATCATTATTACTAGTGATAATCTCGACCAACATGTACAGGATTTAAGACAGGTGTTTGCTTTATTAAATGAGGCCGGTCTAAAAGTTAATGTCGAAAAGTGCAAATTTGCAGCCCCTGAATTAAAATATTTAGGTTACAAAATATCTCAGAAAGGAATCGAGACAGACGAATCAAAAATAATCGCTGTACAAAAGTATCCGACTCCGAACACGGCAAAGAAGCTCTTTTCTTTTCTAGGACTTTGTTCATATTATAGGTCCTTTATAAAAGATTTTGCAGCTATTGCTGAGCCATTGTTAAAATTAAAAAATTAAAAAAGAAAAAGGCAAGATTCTCGTGGACGGCCGAAGCCAATAGTGCTTTCGAAAAATTAAAACAAGCATTAACGCAAGCCCCTGTGTTGAAATTTTCTGAAAAGGATGAGAATTTAGAAATTTCAGCGGATGCTTCGGATTATGCGGTAGGAGCGGTACTTTCGCAAAATCAACAGCCCGTGGCATTTTTTAGCCGAACTTTAAATCAAACACAAAGAAACTATTCCGCGACCGAGAGAGAGGCACTTGCAGTTCTGTTAGCAGTGCAAAAGTTCCGAGTCTATTTTGGAAAGGCGCCAATAACAGTGTACTCTGATCATGCGGCGGTAACTAGATTGTACTCAGGGAAAAACTTATCCCCAAGGTTAATAAGATGGGCACTCAAGCTACAAGAATATAATCTGGTAATCAAGCATACCCCCGGAAACGAAAATATCGTAGCAGATGCCCTATCCAGAATTAAAATAGATGAAGAAGGTAATACCGTAAAGGTGGCAATGCTCACAGCATGTACAATAAATTCCCGAGAAACTGTAATAACCGAACTGGGTAAGGATCCTGAGTTTGGAAGCATTTATGAGTATTTAAAGGATCCTAAAAATTTAAGCCACCAAGATATTGTGGCGATAAGAAATAGGGCGGCCCATTACGAACTAATAGATGGTCTAATATCTATACAAAAACTACAAATTCCAACAACGGATTTCGACCTGTTATCCCAGCTAGTCTTAGATTAAATATCCTGCAGGAGCTCCATGACAGCCCTTTAGCTTCTCATGCTGGTATTCGAAAAACTATCCAACGCGTACGCGAGGCAGTCTACTTTCCTGAACTGCAAAAGTTAACAAGGGCGTATGTCCAGTCCTGCCCAACATGTCAAGCAGTTAATTATATTAATTTCCGCCCGGCCGGGTTTCTAAATAGTATTAAATCCGAATTTCCAAATGAAATAATTGGCATCGATTTATTGGGCCCTTTCCCAAAAAGTCAGTTAAATAAAAGTCGCTATCTCCTTGTTATGGTTGATCATTTTGGTAAGTGGACCGAAATTGTTCCCTTAAAACGAGCCTCCGCGAAATTAGTTACTGATTCTATTTTAAATAAATATATTTTAAAATACGACGGGGCGCCCCTAAAAGTTATATCGGATAAAGTCCTCAATTTGTAAGTAATGTATTTGAAGACATGTTCCAAAAACTGGGCATACGTCATTTAAAAATGGTCCCGTATCGGCCGTAATCAAATATAGCGGAACGGGTCAATAGAAATATAGTGAAAATTATCCGTAGTTATGTTAAAATTTTCATAAAAGCTGGGATAACTATGTCAATGAATTTGCTTTCGCCCTTAGGACCGCAAAACATGATACAACGGGGCAAAACTCCTGCTGAGTTATTTTTATGCAGAAAGATTATAACGCCGTTAGATAAATTATTTTATGTGCAACAAAGAGCCCCAGAATTTAAAATGGGTGATATAGAAAAACTAATTAAAGAAGCAAAAAAGAATACTGAAGTAGCACAGAGAAAACAAAAGCTGTATTACGACTTGAAACGACGGGGAGTAACTTATAAAGTAGGGGATGAAGTTAAAAATTAAGCATTCACTTTCTTCAGCACCAGAAGATAAAACTGCCAAATTTTTTCCACGATTTGAAGGACCATATGTCATAGAAAAAATAACTCACGCTGTAGTAGTGTTAAAAGCCAGGAATGGGGAAACCTGCTCCGCAAACATTGATCAAATCAAACCCTACTATGATCGTAATAAAATGAAAATTTTCAAGATCTTTTGCAGGATCCGGCACGGCAGACACCCGCAGGCACAAGCTCCTAGAGGTGGAACAACGACAAGTACAAGGGCAAGCCATTAAGAGGCAGGAGCAAGTGAAAAGAAAGTTTCCCCGTTGGAAAATTGAAGGTAGCAAGAAAAAGAAGCCGTTCCACCGTCCAGAAAAGAGAGCTCACGAACACCCCCAGAATGAAGAAGGGAGAAGGACGACGTATTGCAAAGAGAGCCAGGAGAAATGACGGCAACTATAACCCGGCTCTAAAACGGAAGATCTACTCATCCGACAGGACTCTCCGCAGCAAATGTCGCCGAACTGCGGAAGGGCCACCAGCGGCGGAGGAAAAGTTACAAGGAAAATTTGAACGGCCAGCAACGAGGTCCAAGCAGGAACGCGAAAGAAGTCTCCCGGTTCCGCCAAGACCAGCTGCCATCAAACGGCCAAGACCACAGGCAGAGGCGAAAAAGAAGGTATTCAAGGGTGACCGAACTGGAAAAAAAAGAAAGCTTCTAGAGGAAGGGACTGAAGGGCGAGCCCGCACTCGAAGGACGATAAATCAAACAAGAATCTACGCTACTTTCCAGGACTGGGCTCAGAAAAGAATGTCCGAATATCACAAAGATAAGTAAAATTTTATGTTACTTTGCAAACTTAAGTTAATCTTTCATCTTTACTGCAAGTGGCAGATTTCAAGAAGTTTTACCTCATGCGAGGTCTACCTTTATCGCCAAAAGGGCGAGAAATGAGTTGTTACCGATTTTGGTATTATGTTTTTCAATTACTCGCGCGTAAAACTAAAGTTGATGTATAATAGCGATGTGTAAAGACTTAAATATTGTAAAAGTTATTGTATAAATTTATTTAAAACTTTCTGGCAAGAAAAAGTTTTAGTCTGAAAGACTTTTTGAAATGTAGTATTTCAATGTAGAAAGAATTGGCACTTGCTTTGAAAAGAATAGAAGTTAACAATGTACTACTAATGTATGTTTGTCAAATGCGTAAAATTAACGGCATGTTAATATGTTCTTATATACAATGTGAATCTGTTATTTCAAATGTTAAGAAATACCGTGATATGGTAAAAGTGAAAGTAATGTTAAAAATTTTGTTATTCGTGTGACTGTAAAAAGACCAAATCATGGTGAATATGTGTTAAAGGTTGAATGAATGTAGTTAGGCTCTCTGACGCTACACTTCAGAGTTAGCCACTTTC